TGGGGAGGTTTTGGTGCTGGGGGGCTCTGGGGGGAGGAAAGCTAAAGCTGAGCCAGTTGGTGTAATCGGTGGCACCTCTGCAAAAACATATTTAAAACGGGTGAAAACCGCTGTATTGGGCAGAGGGCAAAACAGCTGAGGAGGAGGAGGGGCTGCTCCTAGCACCTTTTGTCGAAAAACCCAACATTGTGGAGGTCCACGGAGCCATGTATTGATGGACCGGCTCCATCTCTCTCCCAGTGTCGCTGCCTGCAACTGGAGAGAGGAAAAAATAACTTGTGTTCCCCTCGGGAGCCGCTTACAACCATAACCCACCTTTCATCCTCGTGGAGGTGGCCGCGGTACGGGGTGTGTGCCTTTCTGCCCTTGGTGACGCCTCTGGCGTAGACAGACCGTCATCTGCGTCACCCAGAGCCTCGGACCTGTTGTACAGGGGCACGTGGGAGGGCGAGGAGGGGGTTCCCCTGCCGCCCCGAGCGCAGACTTGCCTCCGCTCGCATCTTTCCTTTAAGCTGGTGCCTTCAGCCTGCCTGGAGGAGGATGCAGGATCCCCCCGATCCTGGGTTTTGTCTGGTGGCTGTCCCTGTGTCTCTCTCGGGGAGGACAGAGCACGGCTTCATAAGTCTTATCTCTTTCTCCTCAACCTTCCTGGTCACACCGCACGCAGCCGTCCCTCACCACTGAGAGCACTGGGAGCCCATGGCCGTGCTGGGGACACCACGTCTGTCCCCTCCGCTCCCTGCTCCACCTCCCCTCGCTTGCAGCGTTGCCCGAGGGCTCGTGGCTGATCCTGCCCCGGGGGGTTTTGCTGCTTTTTCCCTTCCAGATGTTTCCTCACTGGACACGGTCCTTGAGCTCCTGAAAGATGCTTTCAACTGCATCAGCCACTGCCCTCCCGGCGCGCTCTACAGCCAGCTCTGCCAGCTCCTGGCTCTGGCCATGGGGAACCAGGACCCCCTCTCCACCGCGTACCTGCTCTCCGAGTCGGTCTCCGTCACCACTCGCCATCAGCTGCTCAGCGTCATCCACAGAAAGATTCAGTGAGTCCCTCGGTTTTCCCTCCTTTCCTCCCTGGAGCATCACAGAGAAGAAAGGGGCTCACCCGGCACCACCAGAGTCCCAGCCAAGCTCGTTTTGGGGTGATTATCCCCCCTTGACAACCTTTCTCTCCGCAGCAAAGAGAAGAAGTCGGCAGGTGACGTGGCCGAGCAGCTCCACGGGCTCTCCTTGCAGGAGGGGAGCGCTGCCCAACGCTGCCACCACCTCACCGAGCTCCAGAGACTCTTCGTGTTCAGCTCCGCAGGGCTGGGGTCTGGGGAGCAGGATGGCTTCCGGACGCAGCTGCAGCAGATCCCCAGCGGTAAGAGCTTGGTGTGAGCACAGAGACTGGGACAGCTCATCGCCCAGGAGGGTGCTGAAAGACGGGTGGTGCCCTTGGGGCTGTCCTTAAGGTCTAGGTGTGATTTATTTAATTTTTTTTAGGGGTGACTGTGTGTGTGTTGACCCTTGCCAACATCCAGCCTGGCTCCGCGGGGGACACGCTGCTTCTGACGCGATTGGAGAAGGACACCGCTCCTGTGAACATCCGCATCCCCACCGCGCTCGATAAGGTGAGGGCAGGGACGGGAGAGGGGGCAGCCCAGCCGTGTTCGGGGCTCGGATCACAGCTCCCTTCCTCCTCCAGGCCCCGCTGCGCTCGGTGCTGAGTGACTTCGATGCCATCCAGAAAGAGCAGAAGGAAGCAAACGGTTGTACAGACAAACAAAACTGGTGGCTGCGCCGCTCCGAGCTGGACCGCAGGATGAAGGTGAGGGAAAACCACCCTGTACCCTCATGCGGGGCACATTTTGGAGAGGGTTGGGGGGTCCGGACCCCCCTCAGTGACTCTCTGACCTCTTGCAGAGCCTCATTGAGACCCTGGAGACGCAGGTGCTGGGCTGCTGGAGGGGGGCCCTGATCCCCACCGGCCCCGAGCCCGCTCTGGCAGAGGAAGCTTCCGACTTTCACCCGTTTCCCGCAGCTCCGCCAGTGCGGCTGGAAGGACTCGGATCCCACCCTGCTCAAGGTGCCCGGGCTGGGGCAGGATTTCGGGGTGCTGAGCCCCCTGCTTTGCCGACGCTCACCCCTTCCTTCTCCCCGCAGGTGGTGCTGAACGCCGCTCCCCTCCTGACCCACCATGATGTGCAAGCCCTGGCCTTCGGCCTCTGCCCCGCGCAGCCCCGCAAGGCTCAGCTCCTCTTGCAGGAAGCGGTGGAGAAGTGGAAAGCCTGCGCCAAGCAGACCGGCAGCTCCCTTGTCCTGGTTCTGGATAAGGTGAGACCCCTGCTCCTGCTTCACCTCCACCTGGTTTCGCTGCCCCTCCTGCTCACACCTTCCTCCTCTTTCTCCTCTTCCTCGCAGCACCTGCAGAAGCTGCCCTGGGAGAGCATGGCGTGCCTGAAGGCTGTGCCCGTAACCAGGCTCCCTTCCCTGCGCTTCCTGCTCAGCTACTCCCTGGGACAGGAGGTGAGTGGATGGGGGAGACCTGGGGTTTGGAGAACCCCCCAAACCTTGCGCTGGGACCCACTCGTCTCTTCCCCCCCCAGCAGCGGGCAGGGTCCGTGCTGAGCCGTGGCGTGAACCCCAGCAGCACCTTCTACGTCCTCAACCCCCACAGCAACCTCCTGGGCACCGAGGAACGATTTCGGGGCTGGTTTGAGAGGTGGGTGGAGATCTCAGGCGGCATCTGCGGGGTTGGGGGGGCCTGGTCTGTGCCCCCCCACACCCCTTCTCACCACTCTCTTGCAGCGAACCTGGCTG